AGACTGACTCCTACACAGTGTAATCTAGTGTTTTTGAATTAGATGATACTTTCTCACAGAACACCTCATTAAATGTCTGGTAAACACTCTGCAATCACAAGTGCTGGGAGACTAAGTTCTAAATAGAATGAATATGACTTTCTTAACCTGACCCTATAAGACAGATCTCAAGCATAACCAAGATTAGGAATGCAATCTGTTGGTCCTCATTCCCTTAGGAGAAGCTCATCTATATGGACCTTGGTACTTTGCTTCCAAAATCTAGAAAGTAGCTCAACACTGAAATAGACTCTTGTTTGGTAAGTGATCTGTTAAATGTACTTGTAAAACTAAAAAAAACTTTTCAAAAGGTCAAAAGATATAGAATTATTTTATCTCCTTATGCCAAGTAATTCTGTTAAAAAGATACTGACTGAACTCCAGTTTTAATTTGTAAAGTTTTGGTGTAAAAGCTAATGTATTGAAATCCAGTAAGGTTTTGAATTTTCACGTATATTAACAAAATAACTATTCATTTTGGTGAGTTTTTATAAGGTGTACTCTGGACCTGAAGAATCACTTTTTTTATTATGTTGGAATTTTTGAGAGTTATGTGACCATCTTCTTTGCTTATCTACCCATACTCTGTGTAATCTAGAGACTGGATAAATCATAGATGGGTTATATGAAGATGCAGTGATTCTCTTATATTGGACATGTCTCTCCCATGGACCTAGGCGTTATCAATATGGAGTCATTACTGGGAATATTGGTTCCTGTTTGGAACACGGCTTTCTAGGCAGAGTGGCTCTCCAACCACCCCTGTGCTCCTGTCTCCTCCCAGCTAAGCTGTCATGTGTGGGGAGAGGGGCAGAGCAGACTGGCTGTTTTGTGGTCTGCCATGAGGACTCCTCCTATTGAAGAATGTTGCCTATTTCCATGAAATGTTTTCTGTCCTCTAACTGAAGACCAACATGGCTTGCTATAGACACAGAGTTTCACTGTTTAACTCAACTCACGAACCATGTCTTTAACTTCATCCATTCATTGGCAATGATCGTATCTACATCTGTGGCTGAGAGTTCTTGGCATGAGAAGTTAGAACGGGGATATCCCGTAAGGGTCTCAAACTTACAACTTGTTATCCTCTTGCCAGTTACTCTTTCCTTCAAACCTCTTCTTCCCTGATAGTTCTCACATTTCACTACCTGTTAACTGACCAGCCCTAATCTCCAGTCATGCTTCACTCCTGAACACCTCCCTGTTCTTAAACAGTTACCAAATCATGTTGATTCCACCTCCTAAACAGCTCTCAAGAAATCTTCATTTTTAGTAACTGAAGTATCACTTCAGCTGATTTTCTGTTACCCGGACCCTACACATTCTGGCCGTATTTCTAAAGTACAAATGTTGAATGCTTGCTTCAGTAATTCTTTTTAGGACAAACTCCGTAACAAGGCTCTTCATGAGTTAACTCACAGCTTCCTTTCCAGCCAACCTGTCTGCTCACTTCTCCCCTTCACACTGCACACTGGCAGGACTGAGCTCCATTTAGCACCCTCATACCTTTTCACTACCTGCTCCCCTGTCTGGAGTTCTCTCTTGGTGTTTGTCTCTGATGGATATCCTCCTGGTCTATTGAGCTTCAAGTCAAATTCATACTCTCCAGGAATGTATTTACTGAATGCTTCCAACATGCATGCACTGAGCCAGTAATGATAGGGAACACCTGAGTGTGTACAATTTAGCCACTGGTCTCCAGAATATCAGGCTGGTTGGGGAGACATCACCACATATAAACTTTCACGTGTATTTCTATAGCTTTGATCTCTCATTTCATTTTAGGTCCAATTGTTTTTATACACTTCTACTTGGATATTTATCCCCTCAATTCAAATGCCTAAAATGAAATTTAGCAATATCTTGCCAAACTTGTAGTGTTTTTAAAGTCAACAAATTCCCTCAATCATCAAGACTCAAAATTCAGTTTCTTTTGATCTTTTTGCTTTCTTCATTTTCTTTATCTCACCATACACCAAATTCATAGTCTAATTTCCATAATCTATTTCTATTTTCTATTTCTTCCCATCTTTATTTTTGACTTCACTACTATTACCCTTTTCACATTAGTCCTCTTAAATTCATGGCTGGATACCTCCTCACTTTCCTACCACTAATCCCTCCATGTTCCAAGTTTTATACTTCTATCGGGTCAACAGTCTTCACTCCTCTTTCTTATGTCACTTCTCTATGCTACAAAAATGCTTTTGCACCCCTTTCTTCTCTCATCCTTTCCTTCTAACCACTCAAAATATTTTTACTCCTTCACAGACTTATCATTTCCTCGCTGTGTACAATAGTACTGTTCAGGTGTGCACACTAATGACCTAGCCTCCCAAAGTTCTCCCATTCTCCTCTTGTCCTCTTGCCTTCCATTTCATTCTATCCTTTTCTTTCTCCAACATTCACACCAATTATCTTTCTACAATGACAAAGAGGGTTATGAGTCCCTGATTAAAAATCTCCACTGCTTTTCTACTAGTTATAGAATGAGCTCCAAACGTCCCAGCTAGACCTAAAAACATTTCCCATGGATCTCCATCTACATTTCTCGATTACCTCCTGTCTTACTAGCTACACATCCCACAGCCCTGCCTTTTACAACAGTGGAGGCCTGGACATGCTAACTTCATGTACGCTTCTTCATTAGACAACTGGTACTCGTCCTGCAAGCCTCTTTCCAACTTTACATTTCTGTCACGGTATTATACGTGCACTACAATGTGACTGGAGACCTTTCCTGAGCAGAGAACCGGGGCATAGGGTGAGCTATGCCAATCACGGTCAGGCTCACAGTAGGTACAGAAGACACTGGACGTGGTTACCCTCCTCTACCTTTCTGGACTGCAGTTCTGTCACTCATCAGTTTGATGTCCTCCTTTCTGGCTATTGTTCTATCACTCCTTTCCTTTCAGAGATCAGCTGTTATCTTCACTTTCTCACTCTCCATTTCTTTTCAACTCATGGCAATCTCTTTTCTGTCCCTATCCCATCACTGACACCACTCTGACAAAGTCATCAGTGCAACTTGTTTATTGTGAAATATTGGGGACAAATGGCCTCTGTAGTGGATACTCTCTCTTCTCCACATTCACTTTCCATGCTGCTCCACTTGTCTCTGCTTAGCAGAGACTAATAGATCCTTTGCCTTTTGACTTATGGCTCAGTTTGGCCAGTGGAAGGCACTAGAAAGAGATGGAGTGACAGAAGAAAGAAGTTTCTGGCAATTATTCTTCTAGCTCCCCTACTGCTGGGCATGGGTTAGCAGTGGCAGTGTTCCTCCACAGATGACCATGGGTTCTGTCTGCAGACCTCTTCTGTGGCTACATGTCTATCCAGGTCAGGTCTGTGGATAACATCGATTCTCTCATTGTCAGTCCTTGGGGTGTTTCCCCATCCTTTGCTAGCTTTCCACTTCCTTTATTAACCCCTCTTCAATCACCCCTTTTAAATGTGCCACCTGTTTCAGGCCAGGACAACCACTTGTGTTGCCAATTCTCTGAAACCCATTTCATCTCTATTAACTGTTTTTTCTTTTTTTTTTCAGGGAACTTTGTATGTCTCTAGTCGCCATGTTACAAGCCTCTCCTAGTCCTGTATCAACCACTCCACTCCTATCTGTATGCTTCTTTTTCTTCTACTTCCTTAACTGTTGTTTCAGCACCCTATCCTACACCTGCCACCATACCTTCTCCATGGCTGCATCTTTCTCTAGAGCTTTCAACTAATAATTTCAATGACATATATTGAAATAGACTTCTGTTTTGTCCTCTTTCAATTCACTATTCACATTTGTTCACAGTAGATGGGAATGACATATTAAAAAAGAAAAGCTGATCTTACCACCCATCTGCTTCAGATCCTTCATTGACTCCAGTTGAGCTCTCAGGATAAAGTTTATACTCCTTAGCTACAGGTGCATCTAGCTCTCCAATCTCCTGTCTAGCCAAGCTACCAACACTGTGCACACTTCTATTTCTAGAACACCCTGTTCCTTCCATCACCCTTGGCCCTTGCACATGCCCATCCCTCTGTCTGGAGTCCTAAGGCTCACTTGTTTCATAACAAAGTCCTTCAAAGCCCTGTTGAAGAATCTTCTATTCCATGAGGTCTTTCCCAAACTCTAATGAAGACTGAGAAAATGAATTTAATTGTTCTTAGCTCTGATCAAGAGAACTATTGGCCACACATAGTCTAAAAATGTAAGTACTTTAGGAAATAACCTTATGTACAAGTAAAATATGAATATAATTAATGTCTGAATTATAAGTATATTTATGTAAATAAATGTTATATGTCATTATCATTGCTCATTTGGTACTATTCTATACTTTCTAAAGCATTATTTCACTTTTCTTCTAGATTATACACTAGGAATTGTATTTTACAATATTATACTTCCTTATGATGCCTTATCTACCTACGGCTATGCATGTTGTAGCTTCAATAAACATTTGTAATAAGTAAATGGAAAGTGTAAGATGTCACAGGGCACTCTGGTTGATCCATTCTACTGCTCCTTGATAATTCACTTAAGCTACCCTGGAGAGGAACCAGGAGACATTAGCTTTTTCAAGACATCCAAGAAAGATTTTTTCCATGAGGAAAATCTATTTCTACCATAAAGTTACTCCTTTTATCTATACTTACATCATGACAATTCAGCACAATTTTTTCCTCTCAGAAAAGATAAATAATGAACATCAATATTTTAAAATGGTTTTAATGATAGTTTCCATAGAAAATTATTTAACATAGGCAGTACTGTAATGCCAAAGACAATAAATTAGAATTTTGTCTTATTCTTGAAGCAATTTGTATTCTACTCTACCTCAAATTAATCTATGAAAATAAAATAGCAAATTCTAAACAAAGATGAGGAGTAACTGGTGAAAAAGCCTTAGAAAGCTACTGAATTGTCTTATGTTAATAATTACATCTTATAATAGTAAATTACTTACCTCCAATTTATTGTTGGTCTGTGGGAAGGGGGAAAGTTTACTTCTGGTTGTAAGTAGGATTCCTGAATTTGCTTGAGGGCTTCTTCCAAGGGAGGAACTGGTTTTTGAAAAACTAAGGCAATAATAAAGAAAAATGGTACAGAATCACCTCATCTTCAATGACCTCTGTTTATATAATTGGCCAATAATAAAATACTACCTTAAAACTTTTATAAAAATAAAATAATTTTTAGAATAGTATAAATATTTTAAATTTAGACATCTAATTCCCCAAAGAGAAACTATTATCTCAAAATTCACATTGCCAATTTTAAGAATATTTATCTGGGAGATAATGTCCAGGCTCTTCATTTTGGCATGCAAACCTCACTGTCTTTGATCTCATGATGCCATAAATTTCTGACAAAATTAATATTCTTTTTAAAAAAGATTTCTTTATTTGGGAGAGAGAGAAAGCAAGAGTGCACGAGTGAGGGGAGCAGCAGGAGGAGGGAGAGAGAATCCCAACCAGACTCCCTCAGAGCGTGGAGCCTGACAGGGGGCTCGATGTCCCTGAGATCAAGACCTGAGCTGAAATCAAGAGTCAGATGCTCCACCTACTGAGGCACCCAGGGGCCCCAAAGTTGATTAATATTCTTATTAAGAAAAGGGGAAAGTATAAAAATACCAACTAACATTTCTTGAGCACTTACTGTTATAGACATTGTTTTTAAGCATGTTGTATCAGCTAATTTGCTCCTCACTATGGCCTATGAGACCGATGCTATTTGAGCCTCTACTCTGCGATGCGGGAAACTGGGGCATAGAGAAATTACTTGTTCATGGTCATAGATTCTGTGGCCACTCGTCTACATACTTCACAGCACAACGTCTAACCCAATCCTCTTTCCCACATGTGCCTACTTTCCCAAAGCCTTCCACCATGCCTTCCGTACTCAGCATGCCCTACTTCTCCTACTTCTTGTGGCACTCTTCTCACCTTCCTGTTTGACTTGAAACACAGCTGTCTTCTAAGGATATTGCTTCTGTTGCAACCTGCTTAAATGGAGGCAATATTTTATTAACCTTCACCACTTGTTGTATCAAATAGAGCCTAAGCACTAACTTTAACACTAACTCAGGTCAACGAAAACCTGAAATTGAAGAGACAGATGCACCCATATGCTCATCCCAGCATTATCTATAGCAGCCAAGAAATAGAAGCAGCCCCTGTCCATTGACAAATGAATGGACAGTGAAGTGGTGCACATATAATGGAATATCACTCAGCTATAAAGAAGAAAGATCTTGCTATTGGAGGCAATGTGATGGACCTATGGGCATTATGCTAAGTGAAATAAGTCAGATAGAGAACAGATACTATATGATGTCAGTCCTATGTGGACTCTAAGAAACAAAACATATGAACAAACAAAACAAAATGAACAGACTCATAGAGAGAGGAAACATACTGTTACCTGAGGGGCTGATGAGCTGTGAAATAGGTGGAGGGGATTAAGAGGTACGGACCGCAGGCAGAAGTTAAGTCAGTCCTGGGGCTGTGATGTACAGCACAGCCCAGGTGGTCAGTGATACTTTATCTTCTCTATGTGCTGACAGACAGAAGCAGACTCACTGTGGGATCATTTAGTAATGTACAGAAATGCCACGTCATGAACATGCACACCTGAAGCTGACAGTTTATCATATGTTTTACAACCACCCGTTGCTGTTTGGTCTGCTAGTATCTCCTGCCTCTCTTTCCCTGCTGCTGCTAGAGGAAGCCTGAGCTTCTGGAGAACTTTCTATGTGTGAGAGCTGCATTACCTCAGCCACCCACGACCTCCCTCCCTCCAGTCCTACTCTGCTATTCTCACTCCCAACAGTGCTCTGATCTCCCCGAGACCCCCTACCTGTTGCCCTTCTCTCGAGGAAGGGGGAGAGCCAACCATCATGCTTCCCTGCTGAGCTTCAGGTAACACTCAGAATTTGGGAATAAGTAAATAGTAATCTCTCAGAGCTTTGTTCTTGCTCTTCATTCATAGTAGTGAATTTTCTTAGAATAGTAAGTTGATATTTTGTATGGGTAAGATATTCATACTCAGAAGTTAAAAAGTATACATGAGGGATCCCTGGGTGGCACAGTGGTTTGGCGCCTGCCTTTGGCCCAGGGCGCGATCCTGGAGACCCGGGATCGAATCCCACATCTGGCTCCCGGTGCATGGAGCCTGCTTCTCCCTCTGCCTGTGTCTCTGCCTCTCTCTCTCTCACTGTGTGCCTATCATAAATAAATAAAAATTAAAAAAAAATATTAAAAAAAAAATAAAAAAAATAAAAAGTATACATGATACAAATTTGGAAGTCTTGCTTTCCTTGGTCACTTGTATATTCTTTCACTGTGTCTTTATGCAAATTTAAGCAAATATAAACATATATTCTAATTTCCCCCTTTTCTTACCAGAAAGCAGAATATTATGTATTATGATCTGGATAATTTTTTTTATGCTTGACATTATATCCTGATGTCAGGGATAGACACAGGTTTTTTTTTTTTAATAAATTAATTTTTATTGGTGTTCAATTTACCAACATACAGAATAACACCCAGTGCTCATCCCGTCAAGTGTCCCCCTCCGTGCCTTAGACACAGGTTTTAGGAGAACATAGGGCTTATACAATTTGTGAGACTTCACTAAGAAAAATAATGCAAAATTACTGATGTAAAGTTAGGTGTACAGCTCCTGAAACTCAAGCCTCATTAGCTTCATGGTAAATCTACTTGTGCTGAAGAACATCCCGTATCAGTCCACAAAGAATTTCTCCATTATGTTTCTAATAGTTGTATAATATTCCATTACGTGAATGTGTCGTTTTTGCTAAGACTCTTGGGGGAAATAACTCCCATGAGTGGTGACTCCTTCTCTGAGGCACTGGACATAATGATCTACATCCTCTGTCCTAAAACTACCTTCTCTTTTGCCTTCTTATACATTATTTTCTTTGTTTGCTTTTGTTTCTCATTGTGCGTTCTTGAGAACTACTCCTCAAATCCTGAGTCTTTCTTGCTCTCCCCACAGTGAACACTACTAGTGTGTTAGGATTCTATTAGGCCCTACCTGCAGTCCATGGTCTATATCCTGTGGTTTAGCTTATCTTTCCCACAGCTTCATTTATTATCTATATACCACTCCTTTTTTTAAAAAAATTATTTATTTATACATGACCGACAGACACACACACACAGAGAGGCAGAGACACAGGCAGAGGGAGAAGCAGGCTCCACGCAGGGAACCCAACGTGGCACTTGATCCCCAGTCTCCAGGATCACACCCTGGGCGGAAGGTGGCGCTAAACCGCTGAGCCACCCAGGCTGCCCATTTTTTGTTGTTTTTAAAGATTTTTTAATTTATTCATTTAAGAGAGATAGAGAGAGAGCATGAGCAGGGGCAGAGGGAGAAGCAGACTCCCCACTGAGCAGGGAGCCCAGGGTGGGGCTCGATCCCAGCACCTGGGATCACAACCTGAGCTGAAGGCACACACTTCACAGAAAGAGCTTCCCAGGCACCCCTGTAATTACAGTAGAGGCCCCCGAGCTTCCCACCTAGTATTCATTTTCCCTTTCTTCCTTGGCAACAGACCCCATGTTGAATAGTTAGGGCAGCAATACAGCCTTATTAAATATATTTCTTTTTTCAGTCTCCTTTGCTCAAAGAGTAGCTAATTATATGTAAGTAGACATAAGAAGATGGATACTTCTAGGAAAATAATTTAAAAGGAGCTCAGAGGTACAACCTTTTGTCCTTTACAATTCTTCCTTATTTTTGCCTACAACAGTGGCATGATGGCTTGAGCCTCAGCAGCTACAATGTGACCACAAGGATGAAGATATAAATCACAAACTAAGGATAGTTGAGCTGAGAGACAGAAGGCATTTGAGTTCCCAGTGACATTAAACAGTCATCAAACCTGTAATGCCTACCTCAGGACTTCATATTATATGAGAGAAAATAAACCCATATCATATTTATGCTATTGCTATTTTTAGGGGTGTTATGAGCTATCTCATATTCTCCTTAATGTTATTAGCTTGCTTTTCAATTACAGTAGGATCTTTTACTGATACAGTAATAGCTTGCTTTTCAGTTAAAAAACTTTAATTAAAAAGGATAGCATTTTGGATACAGATGAAACTCTAGCATGGTATGGCAAGCTCTCTGAACATGGGTTCTAGCTTATTTTCTTCTTCACTTTCCCCCATCCTATGCTTTAAGATGCACTAAAGTGCATAATTTATTTGCAAAAGTTTTTCCTTCTTTGGGGACTTAAAATTTTTTTCTCTTTGTTTGGCAAAATGTCCATTCTTCAAGATTCAAATGAAGTCATGTTCCCAGGGACAATGTCCTTGCTGTACTATATAGGGTTAGAGCTCTTGTTTCTGAGCTCACACAGTACTTACACATTCTGTTACCACAGTGATTCTCAGGATATTTATTGACATTGTTCACATTACTCTCATCTCCAAAATAAGCTGTGAGATCTTCAATGGTAGAGTATGAGTACATTTCTCTGTATCTCAGCCTAGGGCTAGGTATAGCAGAGTACAACATTTGTTTGCTGAACATAAAGGCTCTGCCTGTCCTTCTCTTTCTTTCTTTCTTTCTTTCTTTTTTTTTTTTTAGAGAGAGAGTGTATGCGTATGAGTAGGGCCTGGGGGGGGGGGCAGAGGTGAGGGGTTAGGAAGAGGGAGAGGGAGAGGGAGAGGGAGAGGGAGAGAAAGATTCTTAAGCAGACTCCACACTCAGTACCCAGAGTCTGATGTGGGGCTCGATTTCATGATCCTGAGATCACAACCTGAGCTGAAATCAAGAGTCAGATGCTTAACTGACTGAGCTACCCAGGCTCCCCTGTCCTTTTCTTTTTGAATCTTTGACATTTTATAGTTAATTCTGTGTTGCTATTTAAGATATAAAAAAATGTAGATATGGTACCAAAGAATCAATTGTAATTATATTTAAATTCTTAATTGATTCCAGGTCTTGGATTGTTGAGTTATATAACTTTGTACACTTTTTTATTTTGTCAGTCTCTTAACTAAGAACTGGAACCAAAATGTGAATGAAATGCCAGAATGAATGTGACACTAATTTATTGAACCTAAATGTTAAATTTTCTTTTTACTGCATCCATTTTAAAAAGACAGAACATTTTAAGCCAGTATGAAGTAGAATCAAACTTGTGAACTTTCAAAATTTACTCACAGAACCAACAAAATATTCTCCAAATTCAACCTAAATCAAATCACAGCTTTTCATTTGGTTAAAGTCTTATACTTTTTTAGTTTGAATTTACACTTTCTTTCTTAATTTATTGTTTTGGGGGTCCCTGGGTGGCTCAGCAGTTTAGCGCCTGCCTTCGGCCCAGGACGTGATCCTGGAGTCCCGGGATCAAGTCCCACATCAGGCTCCCTGCATGGAGCCTGCTTCTCCCTCTGCCTGTGTCTCTGCCTCTCTTTCTTTGTGTGTCTCTCATGAATAAATAAATAAAATCTTAAAAAAATTTATCATTTTATTGTCTACTCAAGTGAAACAGGCTAGAGGTTGTTGTTGCAGAGGTCAGAGTACCTGCTCTCCTCCGCTGTGAAAGGGGAATATGGGCACGCTGGAATTTTTCCGTGACTTCTTCAAACTTCTCTTTCCTTTGCTGAAGGATTTGCTCTCTGATTTGTTGTTCTCGTTCTTCTTGTTCTTTTCGTTTCTCTTCAAATGCTCTATATTTAATCACAAAGTAGATGTCTGAATTATGGAGTAAGTTTTCAAAATCTCAACAAAGAAAATAGTTTCAAACCAATGATTTATTATATAATGATGTTTGCCTGTTTCAAAACTCTACTTACTTAGAAACAACAAGTTTTAGATTAAGAACAGGCCCTTAGCTAAGAATTTTAATGTCTTTTTGTTGGAAATTCCAGAATCTTATCCAGACCTTTTGCAATTAAGAGAAGGCTCTGTAATGAGGGTCTTTCTAGTTTCTGGCAGCCCTGCATGCACATTCCCACCTCCCAAAGCCTGCTGGGGAACAATTCTTTACTAAACAGCTATACTATTTTCTGGAATGTGAAAAACTATTTCACTGGTGAAAGAAGCAGCCTTGGAAATTACAGAACAATCAAGATAACACTGTAGATTTTTCTTCTTCTTTTAGAACAAAAGTTTAAAATTGGGGTATAGATCCTTTACCTCTTTGGTTAGGTTTATTCCTAGGTATCTTATGCTTTTGGGTGCAGTTGTAAATGGGATTGACTCCTTAATTTCTCTTTCTTCAGTCTCATTGTTAGTGTATAGAAATGCCAAATTGGCTGTCATATTGAGTCTGAACTATGCTAAAAATCCATACAATTTACATAAAAAATTTGATTTCCACCTTCTCTTTAAAATATGCAAGATTTGTCAACCCTAGACTCCTATCCACACATGGCTACAAACACCTGTCCATAATCTTTATCAGTCCCTATTTTTCTTAACTTTCCTATTTCATTTATTTCTGATTACCTTGGGCACTTGAGTTCATGTTCTCTAGTTTCAACTGTTTAAAAAATTAATTTTGTGGAAAATATGTGTCTGTGTGTGTTTCAATAATTATTTGCTGGACAATGAGAAGAATGATGATTGAAGCTGGCAATGACTGGTTAAGAAACTGCCAAGTGGTTCTGCTCTTTGGAATGTATGGGGTTGAGAAGCGGTAAATAAGAACTCTTCATGATTTTCAGGGTCATGGGCTACTATTAACCATCCTTCCAAAGACCTTCAGTGGCTGAAGCTTTATTCTTTTTTTTCTCTCTTTTTTAAATTTATTTTTGGATTTCAATTTGCCAACATATAGCATAACACCCAGTGCTCATCCCGCCAAGTGCCCCTCTCAGTGCCCGTTGCCCAGTAACCCCCACTCACTGCCCACACCTCCTTTTTCCACCACCCCTTGTTCGTTTCCCAGAGTTAGGAGTCTCTCATGTTCTGTCTCCCTTTCTGATATGTCCCACTCATTTTATCTCTTTTCCCCTTTATTCCCTTTCACTATTTTTTATATTCCCCATGAATGAGATCATATAATTTTTGTCCTTCTCCAATTGACTTATTTCACTCAGCATAATACCCTCCAGTTCCATCCACATCGAAGCAAATGGTGGATATTTGTCGTCTCTAATGGCTGAGGAATATTCCATTGTATATATGGACCACATCTTCTTTATCCATTCATCTTTCGATGGACACCAAGGCTCCTTCCACAGTTTGGCTATTGTGGACATTGCTGCTAGAAACATCGGGGTGCAGGTGTCCCGGCGTTTCACTGCATCTGTATTTTTGGGGTAAATCTTCAGCAGTGCAATTGCTGGGTCGTAGGGTAGCTCTATTCTTAACTCTTTGAGGAACCTCCAAACAGTTTTCCAGGGTGGCTGCACCAGTTCACATTCCCACCAACAGTGCAAGAGGGTTGCCCTTTCTCCACATCCTCTCCAACATTTGTTGTTTCCTGCCTTGTTAATGTTCCCCATTCTCACTGGTGTGAGGTGGTATCTCATTGTGGTTTTGATTTGTATATCCCTGATGGCCAGTGATGCAGAGCATTTTCTCAGGTGCTTGTTGGCCATGTCTATGTCTTCCTCTGGGAGATTTCTGTTCATGTCTTTTGCCCATTTCATGATTGGATTGTTTCTTGGGTGTTGAGTTTCATAAGTTCTTTATAGATCTTGGATACTAGTGCTTTATCTGATACATCATTTGCAAATATCTTCTCCCATTCTGTAGGTTGTCTTTTAGTTTTGTTGACTGTATCCTTTGCTGTCCCAATAGTTCATTTTTGCTTTTGTTTCTTTTGATTTCATGGATTATCTTGCAAGAAGTTATGTGGCCGAGTTCAAAAGGCTGTTGTTCTCCTCTAGGAATTTGATGGAATCTTGTCTCACATTTAGATCTTTCATCCATTTTGAGTTTATCTTTGTGTATGGCATAAGAGAATGGTCCAGTTTCATTCTTCTGCATGTGGATGTCCAACTTTCCCAGCACCATTTATTGCAAAGACTCTCTTTTCTCCAGTGGATAGTCTTTCCTCCTTTGTCGAATATTAGTTGACCATAAAGTTGAGGGTCCACTTCTGGGTTCTCTATTCTGTTCCATTGATCTATGTGTCTGTTTTTGTGCCAGTACCACACTGTCTTGATTACCACAGCTCTGTAGTACATCCTGAAATCTGGCATTGTGATGCCCCCAGCTATGGTTTTCCTTTTTAATATTCCCCTGGCAATTCGAGGTATTTTCTGATTCCACAAAAATGTTAAAATGATTTGTTCCAAATCTCTGAAGAAAGTCCATGGTACTTTGATAGGGAATGCATTAAATGTGTAAATTGCCCTGGGTAACATTGACATTTTCACAATATTAATTCTTGCAATCCATGAGCATGGAATATTGTTCCATCTCTTGTGTCTTCCTCAATTTCTTTCAGAAGTGTTCTGTAGTTTTTAGGGTAGATCCTTTACCTCTTTGGTTAGGTTTATTCCTAGGTATCTTATGCTTTTGGGTGCAATTGTAAATGGGATTGACTCCTTAATTTCTCTTTCTTCAGTCTCATTGTTAGTGTAGAGAAATGCCTCTGACTTCTGGGCATTGATTTTGTATCCTGCTGCACTGCCGAATGGCTGTATGAGTTCTAGCAATCTTGGGGTAGAGTATTTTCGGTTTTCTACTTAGAGTATCATGTCTACTGTGAAGAGGGAGAGCTTGACTTTTTCTTTGCCAATTTGAATGCCTTTTATTTCTTTTTGTTGTCTGCTGAGGCTAGACTTATAGTACTATGTTGAATAGCAGTGGTGAGAGTGGACATCCCTGTCTTGTTCCTGATCTTAGCGGAAAGGCTCCCAGTGATCCCCATTGAGAATGATATTTGCTGTGGGCTTTTTGTAGATGGCTTTTAAGATGTTGAGGAATGTCCCCTCTATCCCTACACTCTGAAGAGTTTTGATCGGAATGGATGCTGTATTTTGTCAAATGCTTTCTCTGCATCTATTGAGAGAATCATATGATTCTTGTTTTTTCTCTTGCTGATATGATCAATCACATTGATTGCTTTACGAGTGTTGAACCAGCCTTGCATCCTGGGGATAAATCCCACTTGGTCATGGTGAATAATCTTCTTAATGTACTGTTGGATCCTATTGGCTAGTATCTAGTTGAAAATTTTTGCATCCATGTTCATCAGGGATATTGGTCTATAATTCTCCTTTTTGGTGGGGTCTTTGTCTGGTTTTGGAATTAAGGTGATGCTGGCTTCATAGAACAAATTTGGAAGTACTCTATCTCTTTCTATCTCTCCAAACAGCTTTAGTAGAATAGGTATGGTTTCTTCTTTAAACGTTGGATAGAATTCCCCTGGGAAGCCATCTGGCCCTGGACTCTTGTGTCTTGGGAGGTTTTTGATGACTGCTTCAATTTCCTCCCTGGTTATTGGCCTGTTCAGGTTTTCTATTTCTTCCTGTTCCAGTTTTGGTAGTTTGTGGCTTTCCAGAAACACGTCCATTTCTTCTAGATTGCCTAATTTATTGGCGTAGAGCTGTTCATAATATGTTTTTAAAATCGTTTGTATTTCCTTGGTGTTGGTAGTGATCTCTCCTTTCTCATTCATGATTTTATTAATTTGAGTCTTCTCTCTCTTCTTTTTAATAAGGCTGGCTAATGGTTTATCTATTTTATTAATTCTTTCAAAGAACCAACTCCTGTTTTGTTGATCTGTTCGACAGTTCTTCTGGTCTCGATTTCATTGAGTTCTGCTAGAATCTTTATTAACTCTCTTCTTCTGCTGGGTGTAGGATCTATCTACTGTTTTTTCTCTAGCTCCTTTATGTGTAATGTTAGGTTTTGTATTTGAGTTCTTTCCAGTTTTTGAATGGATGCTTGTATTGCAATGTATTTCCCCCTCAGGATTGCTTTTGCTGTATCCCAAAGATTTTGAACAGTTGTATCTTCATTCTCATTAGTTTCCATGAATCTTTTTAATTCTTCCTTAATTTCCTGGTTGACCCTTTCCTCTTTTAGCAGGATGGTCCTTAACCTCCACATGCTTGAAATCCTTCCAAACTTCTTCTTGTGATTTAGTTCTAATTTCAAAGCATTATGGTCTGAAAATATGCAGGGGACGATCCCATTCTTTTGGTATCGGTTCAGACCCGATTTGTGACCCAGTATGTGGTCTATTCTGGAGAAAGTTCCATGTAAAGAATGTGTATTCAGTTGCGTTTGGATGTAAGGTTCTGTAAATATATGTGAGATCCATCTGGTCCAGTGTATCATTTAAAGCTCTTGTTTCTTTGGAGATGTTGTGCTTAGAAGACCTGTTGATTGTAGAAAGTGCTATATTCAAGTCACCAAGTATAAGTGTATTAATATCTAAGTATATCTTAACTTTGGTTATTAATTGATTGATATACTTGGCAGCTCCCATATTTGGGGCATAAATATTGATGATTGTTAAGTCTTCTTGTTGGATAGATCCTTTAAGTATGATATACTGTCCCTCTTCATCTCTTACTACAGTCTTTGGGATAAACTTGAATTTATCTGACATAAGGATGGCTACCTCTGCTTTCTTCTGAGGGCCATTTGAATGGTAAATGGTTCTCCAATCTTTTATTTTCAGGCTGTAGGCGTCCTTATGTCTAAAATGAGTCTCTTGTAGACAGCAAATAGATGGGTCTTGCTTTTTTATCCAGTCTGAAAC